ATATATATATATTTAAAAGTATAGCTATTTAGTGCAGTATTTAGCTATGTGTGTTAGCATGATAAAATCACTTATTAATCTTGTCTTCACTTGCAAAATTAAACCCAATCTTAAATCCCGATAAACCCTGTAACATTTGTCTGATGTGCTGAAAGAATTCAGTGTGTTTACATTGAGTTAAACTAATTTACAGAAATGATGTCAGTTATACATGATAGATAGATAGATAGATAGATAGATGTCAGTAATATTTAACTCAGAGAAAGGACAGCACAATTGTTGCATTCTGGTTTTGTTTACAGTGTCGGCCTTTACATTATGCACTAGCTCTGTATATGAGCATGTTTGTGTGTCTCAGAGTTTGGAGTATCTCATGTCAGAGCTCTCAGAGCATGTCCATCAAACCCTCTGTGCGGCTCAAGAGATGTCAAATATAACCGATACGTAGGACATAATGTCCATTGATTCAGAGGGTGTAATTCCGGTTATCATCCTCCTCGAGCACGCTCTCAGATCATACTGAGATGTATCATATGTTTGTTTACTAAGATTGCTGTGTTACCTCATACTGCAGATCTTGCACTTAAATGATTAGTTCACTCAGAAATGAAGATTCTGTCATGCAGTGCCAAACCTGTTTGACTTTCTTTCTTCTGCGCAAATGTTTGAAGAATCTCGCAGATGTTTCTGTAGACACAATGAAAGTCAATGGAGTCCAAAAGTTGTACACTTCAAAAAGGTATCGGAAAAGTAATCCATACAACTCAGGTTACATCCAAGTCTTCAGAATAGTCTTCCAAGTCTTCACGCAAGGATATCTTTGGCCCTTAAACAAAATTCTAATTGATAATCTAATTGAAATGACTGGATTTCACCCTCAAATGTAAGTGTGACCAGACCTTAAAGCCTTCTACACACTGCACGATTTTAGCAATCTTATAAGATCATTGCAATCAAACTGTGCGACGTGGATCTAATAAACTTGGATACGACATGTATGCAGACTGTACAATGATGACACCTATTGACTCTTAGGCATGTTACTATAGAAGAATAAAACAGCATCAGCATTCGCTAGAGCTAAACACAAAGAGCATGATGAATCACACTTTGGCAGTTGCAGTTTTTATGTGTGCTGACAAAAAGTGGAAGCTGTGAAAGAGGAAGGGATAAGAGCTTGAGCTAAGCAGTTTTATGTTTAAGCGCCATGTCGCGTTGATTTCATGTCACATCTTTATTGACTAGTCAGTAAACGTGGGTCGTAGCAGCAAACACACTGTGCTATGATCATGCTGAATTTATAACTCTTAGGCATGTTACTATAGAAGAATAAAACAGCATCAGCATTCGCTAGAGCTAAACACAAAGAGCATGATGAATCACACTTTGGCAGTTGCAGTTTTTATGTGTGCTGACAAAAAGTGGAAGCTGTGAAAGAGGAAGGGATAATCTTTATTGACTAGTCAGTAAACGTGGGTCGTAGCAGCAAACACACTGTGCTATGATCATGCTGAATTTATGACACTATCAGAAAATTATTGAAGGCTATCTTTGGTCACAAGACCTTGCCACGATTGTTTCACGATGCCAATCTTTCGTCTGGGACAGCTGAAAATCATGCAGTGTGTCTTAAGGCTAGGACTCTTTCCTCAACAGCAATGATGTTTCAGTACCAACAAACAATTCAGGAAAGTGCCGCAATGAACAATGAAAAGGCATTTAGATGAGGTTCAATGTGTTCAACCCTGTTGAACAATTAGCAGTGAAAGCAATATTGATAACAGCGAGCAGCTCTATAGTGAGGAGGACATTCCCTAGGCGATGCGCAGCAAACAGAGTCATTTATCAAGGAGACTGCACTAGCCAAATAATATCCCCCATCGTCCCCTGAGCTTTGCCCCTGCAGTGGTAAAGAATGGAGCTGCGGAGGTGCCGTTATTTGAGTTGGCTGGGGGGAGGTGGGGGTCGTGAAGGAGGGCAAAAGGCTGCTGAGGGTTGCAGTGCTCAGACGGCTCAACATGATATCACTGGCCAATAATAGAGTTGAGAACGGACAGGATATCTGTGTACAGGCCATTTTTGTCTTTTGAATGAAATGAATTGAAACTAAATGTAAACTGATTGATTAGATGATCTTATTAAATATCTGGTGAAGGATATCTCGTGTCTCAAATGTTCTGTAAAAGTGTTCAGTGTAAGCCTAGCTGTTCGTAAGAGATCGAATCAGAAGTGATTGGTTGGGGTCGAACACTGAAGGTGCGCAGGTACATGTGCCAGAATGAGTAACAGGGTTGAAAATGTAGCCTAAATTAATCTGTCACTTAGTAGATCTTAGCTAGTTTGGGACCAGCTGTTGGTTTCTACTAAATATACTTCAATAAATTAAATATATGCTCTGTGTAAAATGTTTAGAAGAGGTTGAATCTGATGTATGGGATGGATGATTGTTAAGGGCCGAACTCTGAAGGTGTCTAGGTGCTTATGTAGGGCCGCTGATAGAGCTTATGGGCCTCCTGGACAGGTTATTGACTCGGGCTCCTCTCGAAATCATGTTTCAGGGGTAAGGCTGAACCCTGCTTGGCCCCCTGTCTGACCAGGGCCCTTAGGATTGTCCTAACCATTCCCCTTGTGTTAATGTATATGCCAGAATGGGTAACAGGGTTGAAAATGTAGCCTAAATTAATCTGTCACTTACTGTAGTAGATCTGAGCTAGTTTGGGAAGAGATGTTGGTCTCTACAAAAATAAAGTCCATTAAAATAAATATACGTTCAGTTTAAACTCAGCTCTTCATGAGAGATTGAATCAGAAGTGACTGGTATTAGCCGAACACTGAAAGTGCGTACACTGTAAAAAAATAAGTGTAATTTTAACTGTAAATATTTGCAAAAACGCTACGGAAAAAAACTGTTAATAAGTTAACAGTAAGTTCCCGTACTATATACAGGGAAAAACTGTGAAATATATAACCAGACATTTTACAGTAAAATGTTGTTAATTTTACAGTTTTTAGAAGTAAAAATAACAGATCAATGTAGAATTTACAGTCAAAACTGTAAACTGATATTCCCAGAATTCCCTGCATGACACTCCACATTTGAAAGTATTTTGTTTAAATAATCATGTTTTTTTTTATAGTTTTTGTTATTAGTTATGTATATTTGGACTTTGT